AATGGGTGGGAAAGCTGGACAGTGAAGAAAAGTGATAGGAAGAAAATAGATGCATTCGAAACATGGAGCTGGGGGAATGCTTTGCGAATACCCTGGACCAACAGAAGGACAAACAAATAGATCCTAAATCAAATGAAGCAACAATGATGAAACTGAAGCTCTCACCCTTCAGGCATATTATGAGAATACAAGACTCACTGCTACCGAAAGTCAAGGGCAGGTGAAGAAGGGGATGGACGGATGCCATAAAGAAAGCCAGAGATTTGTGTTTACAAATGCTGAGCAGGGCTGTGAAAGACAGGACATCTTGGTGTACATTCATCTGTAGGGTCACCACAAGTCAAAGATGACTTGATGTCATGGAACAACAACAATATTATGCTTTGAAACGAATCAGTAGTAGACTGTTATAGTAATGATCTTTGCTACATATTTCTCATCTTGTCCTGAAAGCTACTTTAGGCATATTCATGTACTAAAATAGAATAGAATTTAACAGTGACAAGATCCCCTACAAACAGTTCTTTATTTCCCCTTAATTACTATGAAGAGGTCTGTCGCCAGCAGTGGCTGGTGGCTCCAGTGGGGCAGTGCATCCACTGAAAGCCTCCATCAAACTTAAAAGGGACTATCCATGGCATTGGATCTATTTAGGGGACAGTCCTCAGCACCATGAATAGCTTATTTTAAAAATTCAGACTGAAACCCAGAATGGATACATGGCCCAACTGACATTGGAGCCATCAGCTTTCATTCCCTGCAGCTCGGTTCCAGGTTCATTTCCCACCATTTCCAGTGTTGGATGGAAAAACTCCTGCCTGAAGCCCTGGGAAGCAACTGTGAGGGAGTGTTAACAAGGCAGGTATTCACATCCCTCTGCACTAGCTAGGTGTCCCAAGATGTGAATAAAGATGCAGTGTTTGTTTTTCATTAAATGCATCAAGAGATTTTGTAGACCATATTTGCTCTCTTTTTTCTGGTGCCAATTATGCACCCATTTGACCTTTGAATTAAGGGGAAATTGTCCGTAATGTCAAGGATAGGGGTTTAGTATTCATAATAAGCACACATTACATTAATATCTCAGTTTCCCCAAGTGTTCAGTGTTGCACATACATTAGCCAAACAGGCATTACAGCTTTATAAAGTACAACAATATTCTTCCCATATTACAGATTGAAAGAGGTAACGAATGGGCAGATTGCCTGAAAACACATATTGTATGAGCAATTGGTATATTTCCTTGACAAAACTACCCTTTTTAGCTAGATCCATGTCATAAAAGGAAACATTACTTTTGACAATGGTCAAACAAAATGATAGCAAAAATCTGGTTATAGGTGCTGGTTATTATCTATAAAGCCCTAAATGGCTTGGGACCAGGATACCTAAAGGAACACCTTTTTCCCTATATGCCCTCCTGCCCCCTAAGATTGACAGCAGAGGCCCTCCTCCGGGAACCCTCTTTGAAAGAGGTCAGGAGACACAGTACTTGGAGGAGAGCTTTCTCTGTGATGGCGCCCCGACTATGGAATGCTCTCCCTAGAGAGGTCCACCTGGCGCCATCATTATATGCTTTTCAGCGCCAGGTCAAGACCTTTTTATTTGACCAATTTTTTAACATAAAGTAATTTTAATTGTATTAGATTTATTTAATTTAAATAAATTAGTTTTATGCTCAGTTGTGGAATAGTTAATTTATTTTGTTTAGGATTTCAAGTAATGTTGTAAGCCATCCAGAGACAACTGTGATGGACGGCCTACAAATTTTCTAAATAAATAAATACATACATACATACATACTAGAAATGGCCTAATATGCACCCCTTTCCCAAGCACCTACAATCCTGTTAAATATTGTTCTTTTAAAAGTTTCCTGGGTACAAGATGCATAAATGTACAGCTTACAACTATTACTATATAGTGCCCGTGCTAAGAATATCAGAAAAGCCATGCTGCATATGACCAATGGTCCATCCAGTCCAGCAGCTGGCTTACACAGTGGCAAACCAGCTGCCCATAGGATCCCTCAAGCAAGAAGGGTACAAGAGTTCCAGCAGCCCACATTCTTTGCGAACAAGGACCTGGATGCTTTTGATTGTATAAAGCAACACATCCAGTCCCAAGAAAAAATCAACAGCGGTTAATAGAGGAAGCAGAGGAAGGAAGCAATATGTAGTTGTTTCAGTTCCCAATGTATGAGCTTAGTTATGCTGTCTGAGGCTGCTTCCCAACAAGGTTTTTATTGTACAGTCATCCTGCATTATTCACAGAATTTTACCAGGAGCCCAGATGCTGTTGTCTTCCATTTGTCACTCTCTCACAGTTTCCCACTGTTTCTATTAAGGCAAGAATGAAATAGACACCCAACATTCTTTGACAGGTAGTGCTACAAGTCATCCATCTGGAAGGACTCTGAATTACAAGGGGACATGAGAACTGTGGGTGTTGGACCAAAGGGTTCATGAAAAAGGTGAGTTTAAAAAGAGTGATGTGAAGGATGCAAAAGGTGGCATGATGGAGGGATTCTAGGAAGCAATTCCAAGCAAGTGGCTCAGCAAAGGGTAAAGAACAGGGCAGAGTCGTTGGATGGCGTTGGAGACTTTAGGATGGCTAAGAGTAGCAGAGCTGGAGAAGCAGATGTCATGGGAAGGCAGAGTGGGAGGGGGATAAGAAGGATGAACTCATGGAAGGCTTTGAAGGCAAGTATAAGGACCTTTTCCTAGATTCAGGAAAGGGCAAGAAGCCAGTGTAGGGAGTTAAGGAGAATCAATTAATTTGAGTGCAAGAGTGAGAGAGAATGATGAATGACACGTCCTGTGGAGAAGGAGGCGGCTAGGTGAGATCACCAGGCCACAAACCCGAATTTTTGCTGAGTGGACAGATAGGATGGCTCACTCTATGGCTGCTAACTTGCAAAGGGCAAGCCACACAATTTGACCATAGACTCGATAAGGGGACAAAGGAAAAAGAGTAAAATATAAAGCCAAGATGACTTGCACATTCAACAGGGGAGATAGTGACATTGTTGATGGATAAGTGCATGAGGAGTGAAACCTGGGCATCAAAACGTGCTTATTTTTGAAAACTCAGTGAAATCAATGGGATTTCCTTTGGCAGCTTCTTGGCATGGGAGAGTGCTCCCCCTGCTGGTTAACAGAGCTTGAAAGCATGTAATGACAACGGGTTTTTCTTAACCACAGATGTCATGGTCCTTGATGTATACACTGCATGTACATACACACTTTGCAGCCTATTTTTGGTGAGCTGGTTAAGAAGCTGAATTCTGAATCAGGGAGACTTCACCTATTTCTATCTATGCTTTCTTAAAACCTTACTTTTGGAAAGTTAAAAGGTTACCGTTAAGACCAGTGCAAGAAACTATCATTTGATGGCAGGCCATAGGTCAAGTAAGTTTTCTGAGGATAGATCTCAAAGTATCTGAAGAAAGCACTTTCACATTTTTAAACATTTGTTTGAAAAATGAGATGCAATACTTTTGAAACTTTATACCATGTCTAGAAGAGCAGTGGTTGAATTTTGGACAAGGGTTAAGATGTAGTTCTTGGCAAGGTATGGAAGTCCACCCCATTTCCAAAATGTTTAAAAGGCTGCCATTTGGAAGTAGCACAAGACTATTTCCATCACAAGGTAATTACAAAGTGGGTGCAAATGCCACTGAATTCTTCATGCAATTCACGGGTTTTATCTAACGCTGGTTTTGAATTAGTGTTTCTGTTCACACATTTTCCTACTCCCACTTACCTATGGCAGGCCTCAGTGTAACACCCCATACGGGTCCTCCCTAATCCAGCTTTTTCCAAGGGGAGCAGGGGAATGCTTTGGGTAGGAGGCATTGGCCAAAGTCAAGCCCTCTGCCCTGTACCAGTAGAAATAGGTTCTGGGATTGCAAAGCCAGCATTCATTGGCTGCAAGCCTGCATCTGCCCCATCTCAGCCTACATTCAGGTGTGTGCAGTTTCTCTAAAAACCAAGGGACAGAACTGTGGTGGACCTCTTCATAAGCTTTTCTTGTTTCTGTGGGGTTGTTGTTACTGTTGTCTCATCTTGAGAACAAGCCTAATGCCTGTAGCTCCCAGCCTATAGCCAAGAATGCTGTGAATGGACTTCACAACTGAGGGGATCATTGTGAAATAGCAAGGTAGTAGTTGTTCAACACACTGGAAAGGGCTTACCCTAAAAGACAGATGAAGCATCTTTTATATAAACCCTTTACCTTTATAAAAGGTGTTAAAATGGCAGGTATTGGTCAGTTGATTTTAGCATTAGCAGCTAAAGCAGTTTAATAATTGATACTGTCAGTAGATTTTCCCTCATAACGCTGCAAGAAGAAACATGACTATGGGACCCGCAGACTCTTTGTGCTACTATCCTCCTAGAAACTCAGCACAGCTTCAGCCTGTTCATGAAGGAAGCCACATCACAGAAGAGAAAAAGATATCGTAAGAATCAGCTGCACCAAGCATACATTATCACTATTATTCCATTGCATTGGTACGTATTTCTTTCCCTTTTGTGAGGAATTCAAGCTTGCTTACAGAGCTCCATTTTATCCTCACAGCAACCCTATGGAGTAAGTTAGGCAGAGAGTCTGTGACTGGCCTGAGTGAGCTTCATGGCCAAATGAGACTAGAACCCAGATCTCCCAAGCCCCCAGTCCAACACTTGAACCACACCACATCAAATGCAAAGATTCATCTCCCCACTGCCCCCTCCCTGAAAATGTGTTTAGGAAAGCAAGGGTACAATTCTACAGAAATATGCTGAAAAGCCCAGTTGAGTTAAATGAGGGATACTTTGAGGGAAGTGAAAAGATGCAGTGACTCTCTATTCACTTGAACACTGTGGAATTACATGAACTGCACTGCACTGCTGGATACTCAAGAATCAGTATCAAAAGATGGGAATTAGTTCAACCGTGTGGACCACAGTTTTGTCAGGAATTCCAGTTCTCCAACCTTAAGAAGTTCTCTTACAGCATTACAGGCCAATCACAAAAGTGGCATCTTTATTCAACAAGGTATAGTACAAAATGAATCTGTACATCTTTCTATTAACAGGATTTGTTTACACAATTATATTACACTTTTCCAGCCTTTATACTGCATCATCTTAAATACAAAATTTACAAAACCTCTTTTACACTCTTAAGCCAACATGAGACAAAAAGACCCTTCCTTCTAGCCCTTTCCAACTGAATGCCTTCAAGTTGCAACTTTTACAAATCATACTAATTCTTTAAAAATTGAGGATATTTTGCTTATGGTTCTCCATTTTGAATATTAAAGAATGAGTAGAAGTAGCCTTCCATCCTTGTAACCTGGGCATGTGGGTTTTAAACAGGGCATAAGCTGTGATTTGGATACAGCTTGCTGTGACTTGTGGCCTGATCCTGTACTTAAGCACCTGGAATTCAGTTTTGCTGTATAGCAGAGCATGTAACAAAAGCAAATGCACTCAGAACTGCAACCTTGGTGCCACTGAAGTAATCAGAACTGGTCGGTTGCATCAGCGGTGACCTTAGTTCAGGACACTGATGTGTTAGTGCCTCATATGCAACTGCTAGTGACAGCTTATTCATGGCACCAATTGCTCAACCTCCCACGAGATCACCATTTATTTTTTATACCATGCTCGGCCTCTTGACATCAGTCACAACTCATTTTTTCTATTTGTCACATTTTTTTAGTGCCACAGAAAACCAAGCTGGGCCAATAATGATGGCTACCTTTAGTTGGATTGAATTTTGTACATTTCTTTGTCCTGTTAAAGCACAAGAAAAAGCTTGAACTTTCCTTCAATTCTCTCATCCCCTCCAGGGAAAGCAACTCATTCACATGCATTCTCTCAAAGGCAAGCTCCCCCTTCCAATGGTATTTCCTTGAGATGTTAGTCACACAGTGAAGTATTTCACATACAATCATGTTAGTGGTAACAGATGAAGGTGCATCTGTTGTAGCAACAAAGAGGAAGGCTGAACCTAGAAGTCTCAACACAGATTTCTGGGAAAATATCTTCTCTTATTTTAAATATTTATTCCTGGTTTGGTGATTTTAAGATTTGAGTAAACCCTTCACTCAAACACTGTCACTTCTCTGTGTGCATGTCTTCGGACAAACTTCTGTATACATACAGGGAAAGCGCTACTTACATGCCATGCAAAGTTAATCAAACAGTATGTAATTCTGTTCTCTGAACACATGCTGTCATTCATGTTCACAAGATCTGGTAATTTTCAGAAAAAAGGACTAATTAGAATAGAGAACTTTCAGCAACTCCTCAGCCAAGTTCTTTTCATTCTAAGTTGTCTTGGACAAAATATCCAACTTTTTTGTTTTATGTAGGAAACTTTTAATTACAGTATCCACTTAGGGAATGCTTTTCAATTAGAATCATAATTTCAATTTGTTCATGTCAAGTAGTCACTTTTTCTTAAGTAACCTACACTAATAGTTTTTCTAATGAGGTATCCTTGCTGACTTCATGCCCCATGGCAATTTTATTTTTTAAAAGGCAGCATTCTTTCCCCACTATCATCTCAAAGAAAGCAATTTTACATAAGTACTAACCTTAATTTAAAATTTAAAAGATTTTGAGAGAAGAGGATTTGAAAGACACTGTATTTTAGGTAAATAACCTAGAAGATCAACTCATCACCCTGAAATCCCTGAGTTATTTTAATGCTTTTCCATGGAACCTCTGTGTAAGCTATATCACTTCCAAATGGATATTATTTAAATAGATTAAGCATGGTAAAACCCAAGAGGAAACAGTTATTGCTTATCTTGCATTTTAAAGAGGAACATAATTCAAAAATGGGAAAATAAGTTGGTTTGCTTATTTCCCCAATGTCTTTTTAGTTTAGTACAGATGTGGGTAAGGGAACTATGGCTATTACATCATTAGGTAGATAATAAGCAGACAGAGCCATTAATGAATGAAGTTAATGAAAACTAATTTTTAAGGATGTAAACAGCAATTCTTTTATAATAACCACAGTAGGCATGGTATCAGATAGGAAAGATTCTTGAACTGTAGGAATATTCTAACATAGTCACTAGCTGTCATCCAGAGAAAGTTCGATTTCAATGCAACAAGAATAATTGTATCATAGTTTATTTCATGGAAATTAAGGATGCTAGATCTCATTGCAGCTAAGGATCTCACTCTATGGCAATCAACACAATTTACATAAACGTGTGCATAGGGAGACCATGGCAACTGGAGCATTTTCACAGTTGCAGCCATCATGACTAAAGGGCGAGCTATTTGCTCAAGTACTGGCTTCCCTCTAGGGCTATGGGAGCTACTGAAATGTTGAAGAAATCTCTCCCCAGTACTCACATGGCTCCTTTGAGCTTTAGCCCATCTGTAGAATTTCATCTGCCATTTCTTTTTCGGTCAAAGTTTTGGAAGCCATTTGTTCATTTGCGTACTTTGAAGAAAAGCTGTAAGGCTACCTACAAGGTTGTTGTCCTGTATATAATACTGTCATTAAGTCACAAAACACCTTGCTGCTAGAAGCCCTTCCCACAGATTCTAGGACAGGTTAAACAATAAGGCAGTCTTGCTCAGAAGTATCCTAATATTTCAGAGCTGAAGAGTTATCTTTCTTCCTGCTCCCTTTAAAAAAAATGTCCTTGTTGCTCCAAGTATAAATTAAGTGTACTACCAAAAGCTGTTGGTGATTAAAGATATGCCGTGTGCAGCATTCAGTACAACACTGCTTTTGAGAGTACTAAAGCTTTCATCTTGATGCTCCAGAAACAGGTATCTCTATTACTACAGTTAATAGAAAAAAGACATATTTCAGTTTTACTCTTCAACAGAAAGCTATCCTTGTATCTTTTCTCCATGTAATAACTTATGTAAAAGGATAATCAGTTAAAAAGGCAAGGATGCACTATAATCTTACAGACCTGAACAGGTTTCGGTTTGATGAGATGACAAAGTAAGTGCCTTTGACATTTTCTACTACAACTCAGCTTTTAGGTGCTGTATTTCCCTCTACTTCAAAGCACCTAAAAAATGTGTGCTCTAGCCAAATTATGTCTGGGTCAGGATGTTGTACTGTCAGACCAGTGTAGTGTTGAGGCTGCCATTATCTGGATCTTTAGAGTACTGCAGTAACTGGATATTTGATTGCTTTACTCTGCAGATTGCATGTGCAACTGGAGTTTAGGTACTTTAGAGATATGTAAATTGCAGTTACCTATAACCGCACAATCCTCTATTGCTATACTGGGTTAATTAAGGTAATCTGGGTCATTAGAAGTGTATCATAGTGGACTGAAAAGTAAACCAGCAGTACCTCATAAGAAAATGCCACAGGAACAACTGCCATAAAGAGGTTAATTAATATTGGTTCTTTTCTCAGTTCACTATTTGGCTAATTTTGGCATATGTGTGGAACAATTAAAAAAAACTGAACAAGCTGCCTCACAATTTGGGAAAAAAAATCTTACAAGTAATAGACAGGCTTGTGCGTGCACATCATTTAAGTAAACCTAAATTCTGTGAACATTGTGGAAGGTTTTGTTAGAGTATACTTTTATTTTACAAGTGCAAATTTCTAAACTCTGCTGCTAGAGAAAGAATATGTCCAAGTGGGAAGGATATGTACACATCACCAATAATTAGTAGAATAGTCATCATATTTACTAATAGTCTTTATCTGCTTCTTCTCTGACTGGTGTATTGAAGTTAAAGCATCCAAATAGACACTCAAAAGTGAAAAATACTATTAATGGATTAAGATGGCTTTAGAAACAGCTAGGAGAATCAGAAAGTAAATCAAGTTTATCACAGTACCAAACACACACTGAAAGTAGCACTGCCTTTTACTTAAAGGGGCAAAGGTCTGCTTTTCTTGTATGAAGCCTCACAAAGCTTTGCTTTCTGTGCAGGCCAACTTCCACCAGAAAGAACACCTGAACTATCAAGAGACAAATTAAAAAGGGCACTGAATTATCTGGATACAGCAGGCATCACTTCTGAAACAGCACACTTGTGTTTCACAAAATAGCTGTTTTGTTATTCCATTGGCACGGAAATAACATTCAGTTCCATCTTGAAGAAAGATGCATATCCCTGAAGAAAAAAAAAAAAGGCATAGTCTTACACGGCTTTCAGAATGCAACGCGGTTTTGCGTCTTTCTTGCAGATGTGGCCGTTTGATAGGGTGTCCTAAAATCACACAAGCAGTTCCAGCTGGAAAATCCAGTTCTCTTCCTTGAGACTCATGCTTCTGCTATTGTGGCGGCTGATGTTCTGGGGGAGGTTCTTGGGGAGGCACAGCTGGCCGTGGCCCCGCAGGCCTGGGGATGGCCTGATGCTGCCTCTGCCTGTAAGCTATAACTGTGCCCAAAAGCAAAGCAATGATGGTCATCAGGTAAAGGTCCCATTCAGGTCCTAAAAGCTGGTCCATGTCAAGATGTGAGAATACTTCTTTGATCTAAACAAGGAGACACAAAGAGATTTTTAAAAGTGTAGATGGGGAAAAGACACAGTCAAGTTTCAATAATAAACCACAATGCTGAAGGGGTTGCCCACAAGGTCAGAAGCTTCCTGTCTTTTGCAACATGAATGAATCAAGAGGATTTTATTGAGCAGTAAGCCTAGCAAGCTTGAAGGGGGAGCCCATCTATAAGAATCTGGAATAACCCAGGCTACCATAGATCTTACAACTTTATTTCTGGGGTCTCCAGAATGGTTGCCATAAGCACCATGGAGTGCATCATGCTAGCCCCCCTCTCTGCCAGACTACCTGAATTATTTTTAAGTAGCAAGTAAAAAATCTCCCCAGCCTGGGGTACTCCTCCTCTCTTGCTGTTCCCTCTCTGGGCTTCTACAGCACATGCCCACTTCTGGTTTGACTGGATAGCACATTTGTTTGTTTTTCCTCACTGGGTCAGTGGAACAGACATAGCAAACAATTCCCTGTCCAGCCAGATCCCGCAGCCACACTCAGAAATGTGAATGTCTGCAAAACACAGTACAACTCAAACATATCCTGACCTTTGGACCACAGAAATAATGGCAAATTGCACTAGAATAATAGTGGTCAATTGTGTTTGCCTGAGGATAATGCTTCCCTCCCTCCTACCACACAAATACAGGCAAAAAAACAGCAGCTCTGTTTAGTTTTTACACACACACACACACACACACGCACGCACGCACGCACGCACACGTATGAGAACTTTTCACTACATGTTCTCAAGGGGATGAGATCTCAAAATGATCTCTCTGAAAGATGTCTGGATGAAAGTACAGTTTGTCTAAATTCTAGCTTGACACTTTGGCATGTTTTCTTGCTTTGTGACTGCCAAAACCATCATCACATTTAGTTACAATGCCAGAAAAATGCACAGGCCCATCACTAAGGGGTCAAGAAGCAGCAACCCAAACTTATCTGGAAAGACACTTTTGACAGCCAAGTCAGAGCTTGCACCCAATGGGAATACTAGTTGAAGGAAATCAGAAAACACTGTGTCATTCTGTCAGCCTCTTTACTTCTGATAGCTGTATAGCCAAAAATTACTTAAATATCTGGCTATTAACCATACAACTACATGAAATATCCACTGTCAGAGAAGTTTAACACTATTTACTGGTTTTTGAGGGGCAATGCCATAGGAAGGTTACAGTCTTCATCTACTTGTAAATTTTGTGGAGATATCTGCCTACCCATGGTGGCAGGGCAATGGACTAGACAGACCCTTCGCTTGATCCGTGAAAGTTTCTACTTTCTTAGTATGGAATGAAATTTGGTGTGGAAAGAAGATCAGTGGAGGCATAGCCCCTGCAGGATAGGCCTGCTTCTGAATGGTCTAATCTTGCTGGTGAGTTTTAAGTCATCCCAGAGTGATTGTGATATGATACGCATGTTGGATAACTCAGAAACGTTTTTGGATCTGCAAGGCTCAGCAATACTAAAGTACAACACCCAACAAATTTAAAGGCATCTTCAGATGGATATGGGTCATATGGAAACTAAAGCTGGTTTACTCTTAAAAACTATGATCAGTAACCACAGTGCCAGGATGTACTAGGTATCACAGCAGGAGCAATAACTGTTAGCTGGTCAATTCTGAGCATAGTCTACTGCTCTAGCCAAACCTAGGGGGCAATATCAAAAACATTAAAAATATAAATAGTGGTGCAATGGAGGTGAAATAAAGTACAAGTCAAAAAGATTTATCTCACCCCTGAAAGCCCAAGATTAGTAGAAACTGGCCTATTCACAGACAAATGTCCCTGTGCTTTAACTTTGTTTCTCCAGATACTTTAAGCCATCCAGCTTGGTCACACAGAAGATACAGGAGGATGCTAACTGTGACCAAGAACACACCACACCAGCTATGATTGCTTTCCTGTACCATTACTTTCCTTTGTGTTACTTACATTGGTTTCACGCATATACTGGAAGGCATAAATGATGCCTAGTTTGCAGAGGGCAAGGAAGACAGGAACTTGAGCATCGGGACTTGCATCAGCTGCCATGTCATAAAAGCGTTTTGCAAGATGAATATCCTGCAAAATACATATATATTAAAACTATCAAGAATAAAATGAGAATTGGAACTTAGCTGTACTGACTAGTAAATAATAGCAGAGATTATTTCCCCCCTTCTTATTCTATTTGTTTCATTATTTAAATAGGTAAGCTTCAGACAGGACCCTCTCATAAATACTCATCATCAGTACTGCTTGGTGCAACATGGGAAAGGCTAAGAGGAATTTTGGAAATTATGTCTTCAAATATCTTCATAGGCTTCACCAGTATCACTTTAACTGTTGTCCATCAGTACGATCCTTACTTTCATTAAAGCAATTAATAAATTCCTTGTCTTTATTTGGAAAGCCTGCAAGCTATAGGATATAGGGAATATTTCTAAGTGCCTACAGTATATCTTTGGTACAAAGCAAATGATTTCTACACCCTTCCAGAATGGGTACTGGAGCAAATGCACTTACCTGCTTGATGCCAAGCCCTTTTTCATGCATATATCCTAAGTTGAACATGGCCTGGGCGCTGTGCTGTTGCTCGGTTGCCAGGCGGTAGTGAATAAATGCTGTTTCATAATCAACTTCGGTGCCAAAACCATAGAAATGATAATCACCAAGTTTCAGTCTGGCAACAGTGTAACCTGTTACAAAACAATATGATCTATTAATGGCTACATTATATACAAACTTTAGCTCATTTCAAGTGATAAGTACAGGGAAAATTTGATTTCAGCACTGTGGACAGAATCTGCATCCACACTGCGGTGGTGCATGTGCCCCCACGCCACACAGCACTGAAAGCCCTGAAGGAACTTTGTGAATGCGACTCCAGTGGACTATACCACCTACTGCACAGTGGATCAAAAGGACAGCAAGAACAAGGCAGCAGGATCAGGAGCAGACCATTCACAGTTTACCCTCTTAGATCTGCAGGCATTTTGTTGTATAGCAGGATGTGCAAAAAAAGTTCAGGGGCACAAAGCAAGATACGGACATATCTGTACAAAACTGGGCACACTGCTCACTTGCTCTACCTTCCAGCTATTGAGCAGGCACAGAAACAGCAGGCTTCTTCCCTTGCCAGTCTGATCAGGCATCTCCCACAAGCACTCCTTATGTGTGCCACCACATAAGAGCCAGGAAAAGTTCTGGCTGTGACCAACCTTGAGATGCAGCTCTGTTCCAGTGCAGCAGTGCTCTAGGATAAGTCTCATTCTCTTCTATTATGCTGGCCTCTTCTGTGGAGTTAGAATAAAAGTCATACCCAATTCACAAAAAGGTAAGCCAGCATATGACCTGTTTAGACATTACTCTGCTCAGCAGCACTGAGAAAGGAATGGGTGGGGCCAGATAGTTCTGCTCTACTGAATGGGTCAGGCAATTCGGAACAGTTTCCATAACTCACTCCATAAACCATTCCCCATCCAGCCTAACTCTTCTCACCCATCATAGCCTCCCTTCCTCCTCTCTGCATCTGGAAGACTGAGATATTGGGACAGGGCACTCACATATAAAATGAACACTTCCCTTGACAGGAAACAATCTATTCTGGTATTCTAAAGCAGGAAGGAGTAAGCAAATAACAGCTCTCCCACTATCCATATTTCTGTGCATGTCTTTATTGGCCTGAAGCATGCGGAAAAACTGTAGGCCCTAGATATATTCCAACAATGTTTTAGTCCCCACTGGAAATTTGGTTTGGGATTCTTTTCCATCCCTAGCTAAGAGGTTGGCCTGAGGCTCACTATCAATTTAGATCTACTGAACTCCAAGACAGAGTGCCAAAATTAAGAACACACACATGGCCCACAACAGTTTTCAGAATGTAGTCTGAACTTTTACAGTTGTATTGGGCTGGTATAAACAGCTCCAAGTAACTCAGTATTTGTATTCAACAAAATGTACCTTAATAAGATTAATCTCTGCCCCCCCCATCCCATATTGCCCAAGATCAAGGCAAAACTTCCTTTCAGCACTTCCTATTCATTAAATTCCAACAAATAAAGGCATGTAGGAGGTGTGCATTGTGACTGCTTCAACTTGCAGCATTGTTTTCCTGAGGATCTCTGAAATAGGGCTGTACAAATATCAGTTTGCTCGATTTGGATGGAGCAGGGATATTTTATAGTTTTGTGATTTCTTTTTCGTTGTGGAAAAAATTAAGTTGAACAGAATGTTCTTCCTCTTGAGTAATACTAAAGCAGCTTTTTTGCTGCTGTGGTAACAAGAAATATCAGAAGTGATCTAGAACTGTTATAAAACATTTGTATTAAAGCGTGTTTCTCTACCTCTGGAATCCATTCAGGTTTAGATACAGAGTCTGAAACTGTGGTTCCCTATTAATGTATTGATCAGTTTCTGCATGAATTTTTCAAGGTCTTTCCATAAATAACATTCATATTGTAAAAAGGGTTATACAAATGGCTTAAGAATCTTGATGTCAGCGCTTGATGTCAGAAGAGGTCAGCCTCTTCTACTCCCAGAATCATTATCATTAAAAAATGAGGTTGCCTTGAATGCTAAAAGTACAGATTCACAGTTGATCTGCACCCAGCCAGTACTATATGGAAGTCATCATCCAATCTCTTACTCTGATCAAGAATGAAAGCAGCATTGCTTTGTGCAACTTCATAGCCTTGCTCTGCCAGCAGGAGATACTGCACAACAGCAGAATTTGTGTCACCATCTTTATAGCTATTGTACGCAGTCATAAGCCTCTCAGACCAACGTCCCCGTTCACATACGTTCTTAAAGAGCTGCAGAGAAAAGAAACACCAAACAGTTCTAACTTTAGCATTCAACCACCTACTACATAGGAGGAACAGTTAATAGTTTTACAGTTAGCAATTTTACAATTCAATCACAGTCAATTGTCTTAGGAGATACTCCAGGCATATGAATAGGGCTTCAGAGTGTACAGCCATTCCACAAGGATGTGGAAATGAATGAAAGTGCTAAAGCACTAGATCAGTGGTGGCGAACCTATGGCATGTGTGCTGCAGCGCGCACGCAGAGTCCTCTCTGTCAGCAGGCAAGCCAAGTCGCCCCAGCATCACCCCAGCAGCCGAGCATCGGATAACAGTGCACATAGGGGCCATGCACATGGTCAGAAAGGAGCAGTGGCGCCAGGCGATGACATCACAAGCTGCGACTCACTAGCTGCGACTTGTCTGGGCTTTCGCATGGCCAGTCAGTGTGCTGCCAAGGATATATATATATATTTCCTTGGACTGGCTGTGAGTTGTAAAACCTCAGTATTCTGGTTTTATAGCAGCGTTGGTACTTGGCGACAAATAAGTGGGTTTTGTGTCGAAGTTTGGGTACTCGGTCTCTAAAAGGTTCGCCATCACTGCATTAGATAAAAGTAGTGCTTTGCAAAACCTTTTCATCAATTCACTTATTGCACAAGTTCCTGCCATGTTTCACATCCATGCTACATCCATGTTGCATGAAAAGACAGTGAGGTGCAATGGGTCTTTACCCTCCCTGATTACTGAGTGCGGCCCTGGGATTTGCTCCAGGTGGTCGCCCAAGTTTCCAGAGCAGATCTGCAAAATGCACAGGGGCTATAGGAGGGAAGAGCGAATCCTTTCCACAGGTGGTATCCATTCTTTTAGGAGGTAGGCACCACTGGATAAAATCTTTCTGTTTTATAAACACTTTTTCTGCTGCCCTTCAGTTAGCCTTAAAACTCTTCATCTGGGTTTATATTAAACTCCAGGGGAAAGAGTTTAACTTGGGCTCATCCATGTTTACAGAACAGATTGAAAATTTAAGGGCTGTATTCTACAGCCAGTGAAAGAACAGAACTTACTCTCCAAACAGCAGGAGCTGAGTCTTACCTCAACAGCCGTATGACAAGAGCGCATTACGCCAGTGGCAGTAGCATGCATTTGTGCCAGGTTATAGAAGGCCAGAATGTGGCCTCCTTGAGAAGCCAGATTAAAATACTTATAGGCCTGCTTATAATCCTTCTCCACTCCAATGCCATCTGCAAACAGAGAAGTGACAGCAGAGGGTTAGTGTCAGCTGAACTAATGAATGGGTTATCAAAGGGAGACACCATCTAACTTGCCTTTCATCAGACACACCAATATGGCTAACCCCACACAGCCCAAACTTAAACATATTAAGTACAAAGGCATTATCTGGTTCAGCAAGCTCTGCTTCTTGGTATACACGGAAGACCGCAACCTTTAACAAAAGTAAGATTTTAAGGTCACCAAAAAAGTACACACACAATGTGCAATAGCAGCTCCAACCTCTGAAAAGCTTGAATAAACTATAACCTGACTAACATTAGATATACCTCCCTTCTTGTCACTGAACAGAAACTGCTCAAATTTGTTATTTGAAATTGCTTTAACAAGGGTATTTGCTGCATAAAATGGAAAAAAAGAATGCTACACTAGGGTCATTTCCTACACTATGCACTTGGATTTCATGCAGTAACAATGATTTCTTTTCTTTTTAAAGTTTTATTTACAATAAACAACAAACTAATGCATTGAATTTAAACAATTGGTTTCTTTCGACTTGCAATTGCCACTTACTGGACACTAACTTACGTGCCAAACTCTATGTTACAGAGCCAAAGCATCTGCTTGAAGCCACTTACTGTAATACATGGAGCCCAACTGAAGCTGTCCATCCACCCATCCTTGTTCAGCTGCCTTCTGGAAATATTTCAGTGCCAGCTCATAATTCTGCAGGGAGACAGAGTATGGAGGATCAATTATGACTACTATTGTTTTCTCCAACACTGAAAGGCAGACACATTTACATGCAAGCTCAGATTTATGGTTATTACAGTGTTAGGCAGACAGATATTGATGCTGCAAGATAAAAAGAAAACTGCTACATTGAATGTAGCTTAGATGGACTGCCTCTCTCCACTCTGATCCTTTTCTTAGTCTTGAAAGCCCACCTTGTATCCTCCATCACCATAACTCTCTGATCTTCTATCCGAAACAGCCCCGTCCCATGACCTTCATGTCTGTAGTTTCATCACTCACAGCTACTGGCTTGACCTAAGTCAGCTACTGGCTTGAACTAAACCAGCTATTGGCTTGAACTAGTTGCTACTACTTCCCAAAATCTGTGCATGTTCTTAAAATCCATCCTTTCGTGAAGCAGAACCCCTAATCAGCACACACTATTGCAAGCGAGCGAGCGTTTACTTTCCACTGTTTTCTCATCCTCTGTTGTCTCCCTTGTGTCAAATTATAGATATTAAGCCTTCTGGACAGATATGTATTCTCCTGTACTTGGTTAAGCATGATGTGTACTGACAGAGCCACACTCTTTCTAATCAAATGTATCTCATTTATTTTACAAATAACTGTCTCTTTACTTCAACATTAGTACTATGGCAGTCAGACTTACCACTTGAACACCTCTTCCATATAGATAAGCCATTCCTAGACCACTCTGCCCTACTGGATTACCCTGAAACACAAAGGGGAATAAATAGGAATGTAAGATTTCCAATATGCACTTCTAGCATTCCCAAGGATTAAAGAGAAAACAGACCTAGGCCTTCTTAGCTGTCATAATGGCAAGTTTTGGAACATCTGTCTTGGGCTGTAGCCCTAATTTCAGAAGGAAGCTAGGCTAACTTTGATGCATGACACTTGCAGCCTCAGGCATTGATCAAGCTGCAAAATGTGTATTATGTTGAATGGTTGGAAGACAGTAGCATCACAAAAGAGAAAATGCCATTTCTCTTGTTGCAAAATTGGCAGCCTCTTCAGAAAAATGGCATTATTTCTCATCTGATGATAACTTCCATCTTATTATCATGGAATCTTAAATGTGGAAAATGGATGCAGAAAGCTAATAATTTCAAGAAATTAACATGGCAGAGTTGGAACTGGTGCAGCGTAGGGCCACAAGGATGGTGGCTGGATTGTAGGGAAAACTGTATGAGGTGAGACTGAGGGAACTGGGTCTTTTCAGCATGGAGAAGAGGGGACTCCGAGGGGATCTGTTGGCAACATATACCATATTTTCCCAAAAATAAGACTGGGTCCTATATTAATTATTGCTCCAAAAGATGCATTAGGGCTTATTTTCAGGTGATACCTTATTTTTCATGTACAATTTACATTTATTAATGTACAGAAATCTACATTTATTCAAATACAGTCATGTCATCTTCTTGAGGAACATCATCATAACTCTCCAAACCCCGAATTGTGTTGTGATGGACGTACTAAATGTGTCTGTCTGGGTGATGATCTTAACTGGGGCTTATTTTTGGGGTAGGTCTTGTATTACAAGCATCTTGAAAAATCATGCTAGGATTTATTTTCTGCTTAGGTCTTATTTTTGGGAAACAGGGTAGGTATATGAGGGGATGTCATGCAGAGGTGGGTAGAGACCCATTTTCTCCTGCAGAAATGGGCAAGATGTGTTCTAATGGAGCAAAGCTCAGGGAACCAAGGTTCAGTCTGGATGCCAGGAAGTACTTCCTGACAGTGAGGACCCTGAGGGTATGGAATGGGCTTCCATGGGAAGTGGTCGAAACCCCATTGGTGAGGGTGTTCAAGGATAGTATGGACATGCACATGGTAGGCATGTCATGAGCGGAGCCAACTGGAGCTGGGGGTCAGACTAGATGACCCAGGAGTGTCCTTCTGACTCACTCTGTTTCTAGGTTTCTATAATGAGAGAATGGTCAATGGTGTGGTGATAACACTATGATTAATATGCTCTACACTGCTGTGCCAACACTTGGGCTGAGTGCAGGGTACCATGCTGTTGAACTCTTCCCTCAAGCTAGCACTCCTACTTATACATCCTCAGCACATGGCTTCACCTGGTCTGTTGACTGGGATCTGAAACTTTCTGCTTCTGAAAACATGGAGCTTTAAATAGTTCTTTTAACAGTAACATACCATATCAGCAGCTTTCTTGAAGTACTGAAGAGCGGTTTCATTGCTTTGAGGTACGATATCACTTCCTTCTGAATACATCTGGAAGAATAAAATGTAACTGCAGGTTATCTGGGAAAAAAGATGGGGCCGGTTCACATAACACAGCAGCCCCACAGGAGATACACAAATGGGAGACAGCAGATGCATGGCCACTTCTGCCATTCCTTAGCAACTGGCAATCAGCTCAGTCGTGGCTTGCATAGCTTGTTGTCTGAATTCTGAGCTTAGCTTGTTTTTAAAGGATAGACAATCATTCAAAGGCACTTCAGAAGATGCATTCTTCCTTAGAGACACAAAGGGGGATGCCTCTCTTGAACAGGCTGCATATGAAGTTTTGTCAACATATATAAGGGCATGAACATATTGATTAAAACTGAAATTTTATACTTTTCCAGGAGAATGGTTCCATTTTTTAAAAAAACTATTATGAATTACTTCTTCTATATGGAAAAGGTAATTAAAATCTGATCAAATTCTAATCTAGCTTTTGCATTATAAGCTATTTTAAAGCTGTTGCCAAATTAAATTTGAAATTGTTAAGACTGAAAAAAAGGAAACTGGTTTTGGTTGTTTATTGTGAAAGTTCTTTCTGGTTCAGGATGATGGAGTCATTATTGTGAATTATTTCTGTTCTGGAAGGCAGGACTTTCTGTGTGCTAATGTGGATGGAATTCACTCACTTGGGTACCTCCTTACTCTAAACAGAGAACACTTAAAAAATGTATTGAGGTTCTCATTTCATTATATATTATTTCCATAGCAGTCAGTAAGCTGATTTCAGCAGCGATCAAAAGCAATATCCAAACATTATATTCCTTACCTTCCCCAAAAATGCCATTGCATGTGAGTTGCCTGCATTGGCCGCTTGACTGAAGTATTCAAAAGCTCTCTGCAGAGGGATGGAGAAGGGAACAAAAAATGACAACTATTTCAAACAGAACATCTGCCCATCACAGCAAATTTCCCGTTTTCTAAATCATGCATGATATATGAGAAAACAAATACTGCTAAATATACAACAATACTCCCACAAAACCAAAAATCCCTTCAAACTACAGGTCATGTATATTATTGTACCTTCCCGAACAACTACTGCATACATGATACAGTGCAATCCTATGCAGGCTTACTTGGAAGTAAGCCCCCACTTTTTCAAAGGCATTCATCTCCAAGGGAACTATGTCTACGATGGCAGCATTAATACACACTACTTGAGCCAGACTGTGATCTGATGCATGAAGCACTGGATTGTAGTATACAAAGACTTCTTCACTTTTGAGTATATGGAAGATGAGTTAATCTGCATCTTTCCATAGATGAGGAACCCCAGCTTTCCAATGTGCACATGTACTTGTCAGTGCAGCACAATGGTCGAGTCACCGGACGAAGACTCAGGAGAGCTGGGTTCTAGACACCAGTTAGCCATGAAGCTCACTGGGTGATCCTCAGCCTAACCTACCTTAGAGGGTTGTTGTGAGGATAAAATAGAGAGGAAGATTATATAACCTTCCTTGGATTCTCTGCAGGAAAAAGGTGGGCTATAAATATAATGAACAAATACTTAAAAGTAAGTATTTTATGTAGCTGTAGCAGGGATAATTATTAAACATGACTGGCTTCCACGTCAGCACCTGGCATGACCCTGCTGTCATAGACTCTTGGCAATGCAATCAACACACACCAAGTAAAATGTGTATCTGCTTTGGAGACAACTGCTCCAAGGTATTTTTTTTTTGGTGGGGGGAGGGGATAAATCAGCTACTGGTATCTGCTTAGTCCCTAACTTATATCAGGACATGGCACAGTTTGAATTCCAGGTGCTTTTGTCATTGTTATTGTATCCAAACATTTTTTCAGCAGTTGATGGACTACGCATGATATGGTGAAAGGAGTCAGTGATTCATTTTCCTTCCTTTCTCATAATACTAAGACCTGGGATCATCCCATGAAGCTGACTGGCGGGAGACTCAAGGTAGATAGAAGCAAGAACTTCTTCATACAGTGCATAGTTAAATTATGGAATTCACTTCCACAAGATAGAGTGATGGCCACCAATTTGGATGGCTTTAAAAGGGGCTTGCCATATATGGAATGCATTCACAGGCACTGAGCTCATATATGGGTTATCAGCAGTTCCACTGTAAAAAGATGGAAGAAATAAAATACAATTAAATGTTAATGTAAGTATATTGACATTTCTTGGAGGAGGAGGCTATCAGTGGTGACTACTTCTGATGACTATATACTATCTCCAGCAGTATGCCTATGTGCACCAGCACCTGGAGAAGATGGGCGGGAGGGCTCTGCTGCACCCTTGCCCTACCTGCGAGTTTCTTGTGCACAACTTAATAGCCACCATGCAAACACAGAGGTGGACCTTTGCTTTGATCCAAAAATTTGCTTTGATAGCAAATTTTGTGTAACTGGTAGGGACCACTCATGCGGTACCCAAGTTGGATACTATTCCACCCTATTTTATTGAGTGAAGTTTCTGTATTGCCAGAAAAAGAATATTGGGAAGGACACAGGAGTGGCAAAGTGCATATCTGTAGGAAAGAAGGGAATCCAGCATTGAGGAGGGACATTTTTCTTCCTCCAGCTGCATCCCTGGTGATGGATACTGCTGCTAATTCCAGAAAGATACACAATCCCATGCATGTACTGCTTAAGAATCTAACAGAAGAGTTCTCTGTTCTGCATCAACTGGAATTGGGCTCTTTCTATTTTGACTCCCCTGTTTTCTGGAGGGGCACTTGTCAAACGCTAACATGGTTCTAGAACAGACAGAAGTTGCATTATGCATATGGTACCCCAATTTTATTTCTTTAAAGAAATGGATCAACATTTTATTTTCCCAAAACAGTCCCATGATACTACCAAACCAGAAAATAATGGATACCTGATGATTTTGCTCTACTCCCCTTCCTCCATGTAGATGCAACTGCCCAAGCCCAACCTGGAACATAAATTGAAACGTCATATATTTTCTTAAGGAATAAGTGCATCAATAAGACACACAAGAGTAGAATGAATAAAACATGCAACAAGGGTATGACACACAAATCAAGAGGTCAAGGAAATACCGGGAAGCAAGGAATAGCCCTGCTTCATTGACAATAACGTGAAGTCATTAACAACATTACCGATACTCTAAAAAATTCAAAACAAATTCCAGGCTGTGTGCCAGACAGAGTACAGTAATACAGGACTAATTCTCATAGAAGTAGTAAACCTGGTCTGAGTTCTATGATTTCAGGCTTACATGACGTTACAGAAAACCATTATGTGCACACCAAGAATTGAGGGTACATTCAGGATGGCAGGAGGACAGGCCTTATCTCACCCTTTTCTCTATCTACTTTCTCATTAACAAGCATTTAATTATGTGAGCCCCAACCTGCAGCATGAAGCAACACAGGACAGGTTCAAGTTCACCAGAGGGAGAACCAGACCACAGTCTAGGACTTACACAATTTATGGTGTGAATGAAGGTCAAAATCTCAGTTGCTACTTGGACAGTTGACCAACACAAGAACAGCAATTTTTACAAGAACAGCAATTTCTGCTTATCGCTTTTTTTAAGAGGTCACAATTCAGATGGCTTGTTTGAAAAATGCCACGTATTCCTAATGCAATATTCTCAGTCTCTCAGGAGAAGGATTACTTTAGTACAAAGTTCTAACAATGAACTGAAGCAATCAAAGCACTTTGTAGGAGGAGGAAATCCACTTTTCAGTGAAACTGGACTCAGTTGTGCACACGAGAAAAACACAGTATAGACCACAAGCAGGTGTGCCTCTCTGTTTCTCTTCTCTGAAGGGCCATGTATTATTTCCAGATAAAGCTCCCTTGAGTACTCACAATGCTCATCCAGATCGTCTAGTTGCTATGCTGCAGTCTTTCCCTCCATGCCTGATACGTTAATATTGATGTGTGTGCTTTATTGCTTTAGTTATATATGCAGCTGCTGTTCTTCCCAAATTCCCAACCTAGCTTGACAAGCTAATCATACCTGGGCTTGGACGTCTCCTTTTTCTGCCAGAAATTGGTAATACTGTATCAAATCTTCCTCTAGCATCCCACTTGCCATCCCAGGGTTTTCTACTTCATCTGGCAGACGAATTCTCTGTACCACTGTGCCTCCTGTGAGTGAGATGTCACTAGCCACTAGAGAGAAAGAAGAGGCCAAGAATATTTAGCACTAAACTCATATATGATTGCCTTAAAAAAACAGACCAATATTAATAGGATGAATAACTCCAGCCAGATTTTGGGTTGTTCTGTAATGCATATAGTAGCCAATTTGCTACCAAATGCTTAATTCAAAAAGCAGCTGATGCCTAGAATACCTGAATTATAAATACACTTGCATTTTTATGAACAAACATTTTACATGTATGTCTAGACAAAAATGTATGAAGTGGCCATGAAGTGACCAATGGGTAGTAAGATATTCAGTTGGGGAAAGTATGTAGCTCAGTGATTCCCCAATCCATGGCATCTCCAGGCTGATCTGACCTGGGATCCTGGAAAGTTCTGTTACCAGTTTAGACACTACTGGGCTAGACTGACCCATATGCTTGTTGCAGTTAAGGCCGTTTTGTAAGTTCCTAACTGAGGCTAAAATTTACATCTGGATTTCAACTGATTTTTGGAGTATACAGAGGAATGAACAATTGCACCCCCCTCACCCCCAGTGGTTGTTGTGGAACTACTTCTGTGCTCTCGAAGTGGCATTAATTAACACACGCATGGAATTTATGAGATAGGCAAAATGCTAAGTTATTTTTCCCTACCCTATTTTGAGGAGTTGTTAGTGACAGAATGGACACCAATTAGCTTAGTCCTTTGGTAGTTTCACTTTCCCATTTGTCTCAGTGGGGTGGGGGACCGAAAGAGGGAGAGGGAGAGAGAAAGAGAATGCACAGTCAAAGATGGCCTTGTCGACTGCTGGCATGCAGCCTTCAACAAAGCACCCCAAGGGAATGGGTCTCTTGCCAGAAAAAAGGATCCCCACCCTTGGCTTAGTAAATTGAATGTATTTTATTAAACAGTAAAGGGAGAGATATCACAGCACAGGACAACTGACCCATGCATTTTACAGAGGCCTATGGAATATGAAATGAGTCAGGTTTGCCAAAAGAAATACACATATCTCAAGCAGCCGGGGATCTGAGGCAAGTCCACTGGCACATGGGTGGTTAAACAGAGCACTCTCGTGCAGTCAAGAGCGCGATCACATGTGGTAGAAATATACCGTAAAGCAGAAGTCACAGAAGCAACATTTAAATTAATTTACGTTGACTATTAAAATATGAAGTCTTGAACTTGTTTTTCTAAACTGTACTGAACTATAGAAAATATTGTATTATTTAATATTGATCATTTACCTGCAACAGCTGTTAAGTGAGAAATTGGCCTAAATGAGCCATTGTACAATCTTCCTGTTATGTAAAAGACCACTTCTTCTCAAAGCGAACCAGGAACATGTGTGTGTATGCGTGTGTGCGTGCACGCATGCACTTCCACATAGTGAGACCCACCTTATTCATACTTCTGTATACTGCTATTAACCCCAATAACACACAATTCAGGTATTAGGCTAATGGGAAAATATAAATGTACATGTACATACCATGGTTGGCGACTAGACGGTAATGTGTGAGTGCAGATTCGCAGCTCTGAAGAACTCCTATCCCAGCCCAGTACCGGTAGCCCTGGAAAAAAGCAACTCATATATACACACACAAACTTGTGCAGGCAAAGCGTTAAAAAGAAAGAGTGTACCATGATTTGGGGAAAGTACACAAATGGAAATAGAAACATAGAAAACAGAGCGAGTCAGAAGGGGCCTCCCGGGCCATCTAGTCTGACCTCCGGCACCAGCCGGCTCCGCTCACGACATGCCCTCCATGCGCATGTCCAGCCTATCTTTGAACACCCACACCGATGGGGCCTCAACGACCTCTCATGGAAGCCCATTCCACACCCTTGGGGTCCTGACTGTCAGGAAGTGCTTCCTGGCATCCAAATGGAACCTTGGCTCCCTGAGCTTTGCTCCGTTGGAGCGCGTTCTGCCTTCCTCTGCAGGGGAGAACAGGTCTCTATCCATCTCCATGTGACATCTCCTCACATACCTGTATGTCGCCAACATATCTCCTCTGAGTCTCTTCTTCTCCAGGCTGAAGAGACCCAGTTCCCTCAGTCTCGCCTCGTACCCCATCCCCTGCAAACCGGCCACCAACCTTGTGGCCCTTAGCTGTACTGACTCCAACCTGGCTATATCCTTTCTGTAATGAGGGGCCCAAAGCTGAACACAATACTCCAGTTGCGGGCGCACTAGAGTCGTGTAGAGTGGTAGTAATACCTCTCTTGATCTAGAAGCCACACTTCTGGCTATGCAACCAAGGGTGGCGTTCGCCCTCTTGACCACCGCATCACACTGCTGAATCATGTTTAGCCTGCAGTCAACCAGTACCCCGAGGTCCCTTTCACAAGTGCTGCTCTCCAGCCACTTGTCACCTAACCTGTACTTATGACACCTATTCCTATGCCCCAAGTGCAAGACCTTGCACTTATCCACATTGAACGCTATCCTGTTGTCTCCTGCCCACTTCCATAGTCTGCCCAGATCCTTTTGGATCTGGAGTACCTGCTCTTCAGTTGTGGCCACTGCTCCAGTTTTAGTGTTGTCTGCAAATTTGATCAGCAGACTGTTCACCCCTTCTTCCATGTTGTTAATGAAAAGATTAAAAAGGATCGGCCCCAGGACAGAGCCCTGGGGGACCCCGCTTGTCACTGGCCGCCATCCTGATGATTCCCCGCTAATGGTAACCTTCTGCTTTCGGTCAGTCAACCATGCCCTACTCCACCGGACAGTGCTTTGGTGTATCCCAAAACTCCTCAGTTTCTCCACCAGGATATCATGGGGCATTTTGTCAAAGGCCTTGCTGAAATCCAGGTATACCACATCCACTGCATCCCCTCCATCTAGCCATCTTGAAACCTTGTCATGGAATTCCACAAGGTTTGTCTGGCAGGACCTGTTTTTGCGGAATCTGTGTTGTGTGGCTGTCAGCCTCCCTTCCCTATCTAGCATCACTAGATCTCTCTCTGTTATTAGCCTTTTCACTGTTTTTCCTACAATGGACGTAAGGCTAACAGGTCTGTAATTCCCCATGTCCTTTCTACTACCCTTTTTGAAAATTGGGACCACTGATGCCACCCTCCAGTCCTCTGGAATTTCACCCGTTCTCCACGAGGTCTCAAAAATGGAGGCCAGCAGGCGTGAGAGAACCCCTGCCAACTCTCTAAGTACTCTTGTTCAACATTTTGCAGTCCAATAAGTTCAACATTTTGCAGTCCCATGTTGAAATTATTCAAGCAGATTCTGATGAAAGATACTCAAATGCCCCAAGTTCAGTTTCTGTTTTGTTAAGGGCTAATAAAAGCATAATCCCATTGGTCGAAGTGGGGAGGTAACTTCTCATGAACTGTGAATCTGTACCCAGCTTCTTCTCCCCATATTTTGCAGCTGGGATGGAAAGAAGTGTGCCAGCTGCTTCTCCGAAATGCAAGACCAACTTCAGAGAAGGTGTAAAGAGTCCATTCCGACTGGGGATGGAAGAAAACTGGGTCCACCAGAATATAAGGAATCCAGGGAGCCCTCCAGCCTTCTTACCCCACCGCCCACTGGATTCTTCCATTACAGTGCAATCCTACGTTAGGCTTACTAAGAAGAAAGCCCCACAGAGTTTTATAAGACATATTCCCAGGTAAATACAAATTCTTAGCCTTAAAGCCATAAAAACAACCACTAATATTTCACTTTAGAACATTTCAGAATTTTGAAATATTTTAAAACACCTTTAACTTTGTAAAAGAAAACACTGCTATTTAAGCGATGAATTAGGTAGGAAAATATACTTACCAAAATCATATGAGCTATCAAATTTCCTCCAAGAGCTCCGAAAGTATAATAAACCAGTGCCTATAACAAGGAAATCAGAATTGGTAAAAATACACTACTTTCCATAGCATATTGAACAGCTGTTGTTTTTAAAGGAAAGTCAGCAGAATTGCCATACCTTAGCCTGGTTGGAATCAACACCAAGCCCAGACGCATAGAGAAATCCAAGGGCCTGAAAGGGCAGCACAGAATAAAGTTCACATGTGGCAATTTCTAGACTGACTTAACTACAGTCACAGCCTGTTTTACAAGGTGTCTGTTATGCATCCAATAGAAAAAAAGATGTCATGACATCATCTTACATTTGAAGGCAACACAGCAACGGGAAACAAACTAAATTCTATTGTATGTGCTATTTTGACATTATTTTTGAAGTAACTTCAATTCTATAGGATAATGTAAAGTGAGAGAGGAGAGGAAACCCCCACATAATAAATACTGCACTTAAGTTTGTTTTGGAACCAGAACCCCTCCTATCAACAAAAGCTATACACCTATAACCCCTCCTATCAACAAAATTTTATTTTGACCCCAAGGTGCAGATCTGAATGACACCAAAAGGATGCATTATGCCACCATACCAAAAGAGAAGGCTGGAAGATCTCATTCTATGAAATAAATATTAATGTTTGAATGATGAACCTACCTAGGAAGTTGTGGTGCTACCCGAAACCCCCTTTGCTGCTTGGCTGACCTTAAGAACTGCCTCCATTTCCAGGTGTGTGGACAGTCAATTTATCCCCCACCCCCTGCTTTTTTTTTTGACACAGCTAAACTCTTTTAGATAATGCTGCACTCAAGCCTAATGCCATGAGCATGAAGGTGCTTTGGCCTCTGGACACAGGAATAACGACAACAAAAGCATAGCCATTCTGTTCACTCATTACATGCAAGTTACGCTTCTGACACTAAGCAGAAAAAAGGACACGCTTCCTAACACAGCACAGAGCCCTTGAAGGTATACTTACAGTTTGCCCTTTAGGAGATCCTTCTTCAGTCAGTTTCTCAAAAAGCTCTTTAGCTGACTGAATATTTTGCTTCAGATAGTCCCCAAACAACATAGCATAAGACACTTTTTCCATTGCCTTGGTATGATTCATGTCAGCTGCTCTCAGGAGATATTTATAGGCTCTTAAAGAAAAAAAAAAGTATTTATAAACACCCACACACACACATATATGCAGGATCAGTTATTATTTTGACTTAACAGAAATGGCTCTTTAGAAGAAGATAGCCGGTTACCCTAATGTGGCAAAATTAAATAAAGCATTGCTGCTAGAAAAACGAAATCTGAGGTATACAGGAAATGAATCAAAATGCTTTAAATAGCGACTACCGACATACCATTAATATATATAAGTATTACATGGTTGAGTAGCTAATAATACATAGCGTGCATTCAAATTCTATATATCGGGGTTCTGATTCTACAGGCCAAATTCAGTTATCCTGACTAATAGCTATTGATACTCAGGTGCTAGACTATTACTACAGTGGTGAAAGAAGGGAAGAACTCACTCTTTCCTTTGGGCCTTTTTACTGCTCTCATTGAGGATTTTCATCCCAGTTTGGTAAACATCTTCTGCCTCTTGCATTTGCCTTCTCTTGTTAGACTGCTCTTCAGCTAATTGAAGAAAATGGAGAAAAGAAAGACGAATTAGGACACTGCTCAGTCTAACTATATTTGTTGTTAAAAGCCTCACAACAACACACGTTACATTGGACTCCTGTGGTTTAACAAACCATAGTGCTTTGTATTTGTTTTTCACAAAGAAAAAAAGGCTAGAAATAGTCAAACAGATATCAAACTTAGAGTTTAAGAGATTTAACGAAATGAAACATATTTTCTTGACTTTTTCAATTTTTTTCCTTGAAGAAGCCACACCAACTGGTCAATGACAATTAAGGTTTGTATGTTCAAAGGTGGAAGTTAACCATTTTATTCTACTCAGGGAAATCAAGCATATTAATCTGACCATTTTGGTAGGCTAGATGGACCAATTGCTTTTCAAAGGAATAAGCAACTTTTGCTCCTCAAGGTAAATTTACAGTTACTTTAGTCCAAAGACTGTCAGTTCCAAGGGCTTTTTTCTTTTAAGTAAAAAGCAGCCATAGGAGGCTGAAACCATGGGCTGAAGCTGTACTGTTTAATGTTGCCAACTGTTTGTTGGCTGAGAATCACCCAGCTGCTTTTCCATCAGTGCTGATGTAAACATACTTCCCTGCTAGTAAGAAAGTAACATTGGTGATGGTGATTTTCAGTAAACAAATGGAGCTGCAGGGAAAGGGTTATTTATACACCCTCTTTCCCTCACCCCTCACTCCCTTTCACTCACAATTTCAGTTATCCTGTTTAAAAAGAGACGGCCCTACCCGCCAAAACAGGAAGAATTTCAAGAATTACTGCCTTGTATAGTAAAATCCAAAACACATGAGGGCTCATCTATAACCATCCTTCTGCTCATGACTGAGAAAGTCTTGCAAGAGGTATTGGGACCAAGACTCTAAGCCTTCGCCTGTAAGTCCCCTGAATATTTGGAATGGACAGAAGTGCTTCTGACTGTAAGAAATGGGAAAAAATCAAGACGAACACCTCCATTTTCAATTCTGTCATGGAAATAAGTAAAATTCTCATGTCCACTATTTAATCTGCATGGTTTGTTTGGTTATGTTTATGGACTATTGTTTGATCAGATGATGTAAAACTAGAAAGGCCATAGCAGCAAATATTATACAACTGCTTGCTTCCAAGGTGTCTCTCCCTTTGCTACTGCCTTCCATATGGGCTAGCCTGCTGCTTTGCTTTACTTATCTCATCTATAACGGCCCTCTATTAGCCCAGCATCTTCCTTCTTTTCTGTATTACCTTCTGCACTGCCAAAATTTAGAGCAAAATGATTCTGGGTACATGTTCTTTCAGCTTACATAAGTAGATATATAGAAATATTCAAATGAGGTTTATATACTTTTTCTATGCCTTGAAGTAGAAACACACTGTGGAGAAACATATCTTCAGGCTTTTATAAAATAAAACCAAAAGGGCATGGGTGGTAGTTGAACCAGGACTTTAAATCTAGGTATCCTGGTACAAAGGGTCAATATGGAGAATCCCCAACATCATTCCAGAAGAAATCAACAGACACATTCCTGACAAGCCATATACACAATACAGAAAAGAGTGAGATAGATCACTCTGATTCTGCTTGGCTGGAGAAGCAGTGACCCCCAAAAGTTGCCTGATGGGTTGGCAGTTGTGGCTGAGCAGATGCCTCTAACAAGCCTGAAAGCAAAGCATAAAGATTAACACCCCCCCCCACCCACACACACAATGCTTGTTCTCATAATCTGGTGCTTCAAGCCATACTTCCTGTGAACATGAAAGTTCCTCTAAGAATTTGGCTAATCTTCCTTTACAGTATGTGTGTGCACAGGCAGGACACAACTTCTTGAATTCCAGGGGCTATTTGCATCCCTTCATTCCTCTTGTGTGGGTACCAAAAAGGGAGGGATGGGAATTAAAACTAATGCAAAAAATAGCATCCACAGCTGCTACAGCTCCCCAAAGCATCAAAATTGGTTTGTAAGCAAGCAAATTTGACTTCTGGGGGGCTTCTGGATGCTAGGTTAATTGCAAAAAATGCTTTAAAAAAAAGAATGTGGAATGGTTCCCCAAGGGAATAGCAAGGGCTACTTCCTTCCCACAGGCCACATTATGCCCACCCTTGGCTTTAAAGCCATTGGTCACCACCGCCATATGGAATTGGTGCACCATATTCCATAACCTATATGTTGTACAAAGTTATGAGCTGTCCATCAGTCCCGAACATACTGAACATTAATTTCACAGCTGACCCCAAATTCTAGTATTTTGCGAACAGGAACATTTCTGTCAACACCACTCATCAATTAAATTTCAGGCAACCCAAGAACTGTGGAATTGCTCAGCATAGCTTTCACACTTACTTTCGCAGAAGCCCCACTTTTGATCACTCTTGTAATCATAGGTTGTCGCACACCAGAGCCTGCCATCTTCCCTCCCATCTGCGGTACATTCTGAGTATTCCTTCTCCAGAAAAAGAAAAGGGAAGTGGCATGGTTCACCATCTGCAGTTCCTGCAATGGCTGTCAAAACTAAACAACACACAAGACACCCAGAAGTTAATATATAGAAGGATTTCAACTGTTGCTAATTTTGTATCTTACCCGTTTTCCATGTTAAAAAGAACCTGTGGACTCGCTACATCTCTTCCCCTCAAAATGTAAAATTATAAACAATTTTTGCTTAACTAAAAATGGATACTCAGATTCAGGAATGCCAGAAATTAGGATAATTTAGTAATCACAGTCTTGCAGTAATAAGAGTGCAAAGTTGTTCACATCACATTTATTTCAAACTTTTATATGCCTTCACCATATGCCTCGGCATCTCGGGACGGCTTACAAACGTAAGCTATAATCTAGTTACTGTTGCATAGGAATCTACTCTTACACAGATTTTTCTGCACCCTCTTATTTTCCCTTATTAATTCCAGAGCTGAATGCACTATGACATTCACAAATTCTCAATTTAAAACTGGGACTAGATCAATACTACAAGCAGAAATTCTCTCTGATAAGGCATCTGATTAAGGGAAGGATCTGATGAAATTTGTTAGTGGATGGACCTCATGTCATCTTCTCTTGAATTCAGCAGGGTTTTTCTGTGATCAATTAAAATTATATTTGTTCACCTAAGGAGAAAACAGCTTAGGTTTTTGGCAGGCGTATCCTATGATATAGTTTCATATGTATGTCTTCTCTTAAATGGACATAACGCTAGCAATTGCTGTTGATGTGCCAGTACAGGGAAGTGAAAAAAATAGGCTGCACTTGCTTTGTTTACCATGTGTGACATGAGACAAGCCTTCCCTCCTTGAATGTTATAATTAGATATAGGAAAAGAAAGCTTCAGTATAATTAAGCAATCATGTCTTTTTATTTTCAAATTCCACCATGACCTAAAGTATGTTCTCTTATCAATCCACTGGGAGTTTTCAAGCTCAATATACTTTCTGAAGTATATCACCTTTATTTATCTCATAGGCTTTCTGCATGGGTAGTTGCCTCTGCTAAAAAAGGACTGGTAAGCGCTCGCCAGGCAAAATGCAATGAAGACTCCGATGTACGTGGTCTCCCTTTTCATTTCTAGTAAAGCGTTCCTACCAACACATGCAATGCAAGGCTCAGTTGCACTGCACTGCACTGCACAGCACAGCAGGGATATTGGTACCTGTTCTATTCTCCACTTAGAGTTTGGTATGCATTTATACTTAAACCTCTTATACTTATACTTGAGCCACCCTCCTGCGATAGAGATTCAAGGTTTCCTAGGGTTACTTATTCATTTACTAATGTTAATGTTGTGAGCAGCCTAGAAAGCCTATGACCAATGGGGCAGCATATAAATTAATTGAATGAATGAATAGCTATGTAAGTGAGTGGGATAATCCCTTTGATCCTGTTTTATGCACATGACCCTAACAATGCAATTCAATGCATGTTTATTCAGAAGTAAGACCTACTGTGCTCTGTGGGTCTCATTCCATAGAGATTTGGCAGGCTTACATGTGGCTACCTTCCCAGCAAGTCTGCCTTCCACTAAAGCTGGAACTAGTGCAAGGAAAGCTTTAGAACTGACCTATAAAAGCATAGACCCAGCAGAGCTAGGGACAATTGCACAAAAACAGGACCCACGCAAGATGATGTGAGAATGCATTCTAACTCTTTCCTCACAATTGCCATGTACTAACAAGGGGCCACGGCCCTGATGTTCTTTGGTCCCAAGCTGAAGTGCTGGGTGTATGCCCCCCTCTTATGTCGGCCTGGGAGCTGGCTTAGAGGGAGATCTCCTGTTGAGGAAGGCCTCTGTGCACTGAATTTGCCACAACCGATATGCCAGGTAGATGGTCTTCACCTAGGGTGGTTTCTCCTGCCTTGCACCTTCTCTCTCTGGGTGAGGAAGCAGAGCAGATGGAACTAGGCTGACCTTGTGCCCCTTTGCACACTACTGCAATTTAATCAGAGTGCTGTGAGCTGCATGAAGGAAGAGGATTCAGCTGCTGCTTGCAGGAGTTCTTTGAGTGCTGACTGGGTTCTCAGCACAACTTTGCTTGTATTTTGCCTTCCACAAAAGTCAGAGCTTCCTTATCCCCATTTCAGCAGAACAAGTATTCTTACAAGTAACAAAGGTGTTAAGATCCAACTCCACTTAGAAATGTAAGTAAAAGAATCCTTGTTAGTTAGCTTTCGGTGCTAAGTGACAATGTAAAGCTATTAATTCAACTAGTGCTGTCCTTTGTTTAATCAAAATACCTTTGAACTGCTCTGGGTTGCATCCAACACAGTGAAAGCAACAAGACACTGCCTTTTTCACATCCCTGCTGTAATCCCGTTTGAACCTTGTCCAAATCTGCTATGAAGAATCCCTCAGTGCTCTGGAACAGGCTGGGGAAATATGCAGCGGGAGAAGGAATTCGTTCTCCTGGTGGATGGCACCGCTGCATACAATCCTCTGAGAATTTATGTTATGAACTGCAGAAAAAACTACTTAATTCCTGGAAAAACTTTGAGGACATTCTGCCTATACAATAACATCTAAGAAATGGAGGCACAGTATAAAATTATTTGAAAACAGATGAACATCCCAAAGTACACTGTGTCTGATCTGTAGTGCACTAGTTCCACAGATACCTGTGCACTCACAGAAGTCCATACAAGAAATGCTCAGCAGAAATTTCTGTTCTTCCAGTCATGCTTTTGATATCACAAAATTATAATTGTCCAGCAGTTGCTTCTAGACTAACAATTCAAAGTTCAGATGTTTAGCAAACTTAAGTCAGATGGAGATATGAGTGGCAGACTAAATACTGAGCTGCTACCCTGCTCCCATGAATTCCCCCTTCCTATTTTTAATGGCAGTGTAACACAGGACAGATGCAATGCTAACCAAGGTTAGCGTAAGTTAGATATTTGCTTGCTGATTACAAGTAAGCTTAGTTGCAACGGGACAAGAGTAGATGCATTGCCACATCATGATCAATGATAAGGAGAGGGAAGGCCACAGAGAGAATGTGAGGCCCATGACTCATTCTAATAACCACACTCAGGTAGTTTGACGAGCCCTTTCAGGAATTGATATCTTTTGCCTTCTTCCATGACTGCTGTCATCTTTGACTTATACACAAACATCTCTTAAGCTCTAGATCAGAGGTATCATAGAAGATCACCTGTTTTTTGTGTTTCTACCTCTTCTAAGTCCTGATTCAAGAGGGTTGTCGGTTCTAGAGGACTTAAATCCTCCAAAGTTCTCTCCTCCTCTTGGTTCCTGAAGCTCTCTCCATTTTCAGCATGAGTCTCTGCTTCCTCAGAGTCAATGAAGATTTGACCAGCAACAACTTGAGTTCTTGTGGAATGGTCTTTCACCTGTTCTTCAGAAGACAAGGCTGTCTATAAATTACGTAGAAGAAAAAATAAATAGATGAAGCATTTGACCAACTCTCACATATAGTTAAGATTTCTGAACAGACTGAAGAAAGCTTTAATGTTCATTTTAGGATGTATGCTTGCAACTAGTAAGAAGACTGAGAAAAATATTTAGGATTTCTGAACTGATCTTCTTTTAAAGCCCTGGCTTCTGCATTCTGACATGCTTCTAGTGTCTGCTGCTTTGGCTTAAAATGAGAGCTTGTTCTTAGTTCACTGAAGCTCATTTATCTCCTACTGCACATCATCATCATCATCATGTTTCTATAGTGCCCAACAGCTGAAGCTCTCTGGACAGTTTACAACA